CAGTCTTGTGAGACATTTTTTTTCATCAAGCGTCAGTAAAACCATACTAAGACTCCTAAGGTTTGTGAAAAACCTGTTATCAGTAAACAGTTTTCTGTAACAGTTTACACGATATTGCAGATAACAAAAAACAATGAGCTCTGGTGAATTCTTGCATGAGTATTTTGCGGCAGAATGTTTGACTGTGTCTGGTTTATTAGAATAATTCCACCGAGTAGCTAACTCTTGATAAAATAACATGTTTAAGGCCTACAATAAATGCTTGTATTTAACAACGGTCACGTAGAACTTACACTAGTGAAGTGTTGATAAATGTGACGTAATCTACTGGTTAGATAGTTTTTCAATTACGAAGTCAAATAATTTACATTCTGAGCTGACCAATAGAGAATTGATGCACTGCAGTAAACTAATAGCTTTGCACTGACTACTTATTTCTGTATGTCACAGATAGATATGTTTAATTACAGTAAAAAGAAAGTTTCTATCGATAGTTTCATTTACTTCAGTGGATGCTTGAAGTAAATGAAATGATTGTTATTTAAATCGCATCATTGTTTTCGAACTTTACTGCTGTCGACAGGAAGGTACACTTAGCTACAGGGTCTTTATTATTCACAGGAACGATTCAGAATGATCTAGAAACAGTAACTATAGGTTCATCTTGTGCAGATTTCAAAATACTGTTCTGCGATGGCTGCTTTTTTTCATCTTCTTGTTCGATATTCAAAAAAATAGTTGCTGACGTTTTCAGGATTTATATTGCCAATCATGAAATCTGTAAAACTAGGTAAACATTAACAAAATACTTTGATATATTGTCAAAAGAAACACACTACTGACCAAGAATGTCAATTTAATTGGTCGAGTATAACGTCGGCTGTCTCACTCCTGAAGTGAAATTAAATTTTCAGGGTGTAACTGTGCTTAAAGTGCAGAAGTCCAAGCTGATATACATTGCTCACAGAACAAACAAAAAAGACAAAAATAATGAGGAACTATAATGAATGGAAATTAATGAGAATGTAATGGATTTCGGAGTTCATAAACAGTGAATACATCTGTGTCACTGAAGACTACTTTAGGCCATGCCACAAACAGCCTAAAGCCTTTGGATCTCAAGGACCCAAGCGACTAGTTGCACATCTCTCAATATGGCTCAAATTAACAGTGCAAAATCTCTCCAATTGACGCAGTGTTTGATTTCATCCCCCCCTTTGAGGCTTTTTCAACCCAATCCGATGTCAGCTAACATTGGTAGATGAGGAGTGCTTTAATTCAAATAGCAATCTCAATCACTGTAGCTTCACAACTTCATTGACTGACGTGCTCTTCTTACCTGACACTCTACTCCTAACTTCAGTATTACTCACCACATTATACCACTTAACACGTAAAATAGAATGTAAGCATGTGTCGTCAAAGAAAGCCAGTTTTTTATGTCTTCCACATACGATGGCCATGATTCACAACCATAAATAAGGATAGAAACAACTGATGCGCAGTACACACGTTTTTTGTTCTGTATTAGGACATCACATCTAATTCAGGTATAATGTAAGTTGGAAAATACCCTATCAGCCTTTTGTATCCGTGTTGAGATTTCGTCAGCAATCAGCTCATTAGGAGAGAAGGAACTCCCCCAAAAAGTGAGATGATTGACATGCCCCTATCCATAAACTTGGAAACGGAGCAGTCGAGCTCTGCAGCATGATTTTATATGTGACAGCGTCCAATCCCACATTAAACATACTAAGATATCCTCTCAGTGTGTTCAGAAGACTGTATTTCTCCAAACTGTTCCTACAGAAGGATTATGCAAACATGAGAACACGAAATTAGAGGCATCGTGCCCTGGTAACCAGTCAATCCTTAGGTCTCTAAAGTCGATTGGGATCACATCCATTAATACATCTGTGATGAAAATAAGCAAAATGGAGAAACTGGGCATTCGTATCTGACACCAATGCTTGTTATCACTTCAGGCAACAACTCTTCGTAAGCTCTTACACGACTGTGAGTGTTACGGTCAGTGATATTTACTTTCTCGGTGCCCCTTTCACGACCAAACATTGATGCAGTGCCTTTTAGTAGACAGAGCCAAATGTCTGCCAGCTTCACGTCAACTGGTACGTCGAGTGTTGAACCGCTATAAGTATGGCTGTGTTCCAGAACCTCTTGAAGAGTGAAGATATCATTCACACACCGTTATCCAAGCCCCAAGCTTGCCTGGTTTATTTTCCCTGAGCACCGACTAGTCTATGCTGAATTATGGGACCTGGAAATTTAGATATTATTGTTAGTGAAGTTAATCCTAGTTTGATTATCACAGGACTATCTGTCTGCTGGGATAATCACTGACTGTTTGAGTAGCAAGTGTTTATTTGTAGAGGTAGAGAGGAAAAATAAACTACTGTCTCATACTGATTAAAGAATAGAGTACTTGGTTTTACAATTCACTGTAACGCTAAGATTTTATTATGCAATTATAACAGAGTGTGATAATGATAATATTACTGTTCTCCAAGATAACCGGGACCGAAAACCATTTTATCTGGAATAAAGGTAAAGGCTATGGGAGAAAGAGTGACTGAATAAATATTTTCTGAAGCCACAGATTAGTAATGAAAATCTTTGCTGGCAACCGTCTCAGTTGTGCTTATCAGCTTAAAGCGTATTAACCTGGAGAATCTGGTTTACATCTTGTTTGGGATGCTAAGATCTCTCTCTGTTTCTGTCAATCTTCTGTTAAGCGTCCACTAGGTGATCCAGGACAGACCTTACTACTCTTCTTCCTAACTACGTTGGATAGTGCTCATGAAGACGCCCACCGAGTTGTTCTACCTGCTTGACTATCACCACATGAATAGGTAAATTTATAAATGCATGACTAGACTCGGCAGGGTTTTTCCCACCTTTATCAGAATTATAAGAATAGTGAATTTTACACATAGTATTGCTCTGAAGAAAGTTATAGGTATAAATTTTCTCAGTTTTGATGCCATCAGTTCGGTAGCTGCATCTTCTGTGAATGACAGGGATATTATATGCTTTCTCTACACTTTTAGCAAACAATTCTCGCCATCTGTCTTCATCCTAGAAACGTTTACAAACTTTCCACGGTGTGCGTCGTCATAAGACAAGTTCCCTATTTTCCCTATGTCGTCTTTCACAGTATCCGTTGCACATATTTTCCTAGTTCAAAACATCAGATTACCAATGATATATCATTTCTATGTAAGAGTAACTATCGTTCTGGAATGGATTTATTGACCAACGCATGACTTTCTACGGAAAGTACCCTGTCTAATGCAACCATTTGTCCTTCATAGTCCACGGACGTAAAAAACGGTAAACTAAGGTTGTGGTGAGAGCTGGCTGCTAGCCAAAGTTGGTAGACGGTAATTGACGTCAATGTTTATGTCCCCAATATTGGTGGTGAGAAAATGAGAACAAAGGCTTTGCGTAGGCGGATACAGTTAGCATATGGATGATCTGACACAGTCACAAAGAGATGCAAGATTAACTTTCTGTGAGAAACAACCAATCAAAAGACTGTATTTTCTACTAACAATAATCTACAATAATGTACATTAAAATCTCTAAATATGTGTTGATTTTCCTTAATAAACGATCTGTTGCCTGGCCCTTGTCTTCTGTTGTTACAAGGTGTTTTTCTACTTTATTTGTGAAACTAGTTTGCATGTGAGCAACATTGAACGTTTTAAGAAAACCCTTAGCACTTATGTTATTGTTTATGTGGGATAAACTTATCGTCCATGCATCTACACTAGAGTTTATTAATTACGCATTTTAGTGAACTGTTTTCTAATTTCGCAATAAATGTGTCGGCTAAAAGTGGGTCCAAAGGTAACCACATATGTAAAAGTATACTTTTCCCTCAAGGTCTTCAAAATGAATTTGACTGTGCTACATCTTGATAGTAAATTTCAACCTAAGGATATTTGTAGAAATACACACACACACACACACACACGCAATCAGCAGTTTCGACTGGACACTCACCAAATCAAGGCATGATATTTCCTATATGACGCATTTTATTCACTCATAAAAGTGCTTGAAGACTTATTCTCGTCAACAAAAGCTGATCGACAGTGAATTTTATGCAAACCTATAAGGTGTGAGCAATACCACTTTTTAAATAATCCAATAATTTACATTCTGACTATTTTCAAGTATTGGTTTTGAAGGGATTTTCGTTTGATTGCATGGAGGATTTCATCATGAACTGACATCAGTTGGAGAACCAATCCTAGGTTTTCCAGTGGTTCTCCAACTGATGTCAGCTCACGACTTCTCACTAGAACCCCAGGTAACTACCTACCTGAATAGGACAAGTCGCTAGTGAGCATCTCATTGATATTCAAGTGTTGGTTTGTAGGGATTTGATTGGTTACAGGATTTTCATCATGAGCTGACATTAGTTAGAGAACCATTGGAAATCCTGCAGGGAGTACTGGACAGCTGTTTCGTCAGTCCAGTTTGGGACTCTTCGCAGTACTCACCCACCGGGATTCGAACCCAGGACCTTCTGGTTACAAAGCGAGCTCGTATACCATTAAGCCACTTGGACCCGATTCAATGGCCCATGAATTCTAACTTCTGCCAATTCACGACATAGCGCGACCCCTAGCCAATGTCTTCGGCGAGTATTTGTCCTCACACTAGACTTGCTGCACCCTACTGGTTACGACTTCTCAGCTCATGATGAAATCCTCCATTCTGGCTATTATTATATAGTTTATAACCTTATTTTAATCTGCACTAATCACCTTTAGATTACTATGATTTAAGTGATACTTACTGCATGCTAAAATATTTCGTTTTACTCATTACTATAAAAATCCAATAAACTAAAACGAATGAGCACAACAGTGGATCAACCAATCGGAGGACCCTGAACAATCTGGAGGTTAAGGTCATTTAACAACAGATAAATAAGTAAGCAATTAGATATTTTATTGATTTCTGTATAAATGGCCAGAATCTGTACTCAAGTTACTTTAATAAATAGAAGATTTATCAGAGGCGGTGAAGTGAAGAGAATTACTATTTTCCAAACACCAGGAGAACACTATTTGTTTATCTGCTGTCATTTCCCTGAGCTGAATGATTTTCTTAACCAACAGGTAGGATTTTGCAGTTTGGAACTCTGTATTATAAGCACGTCAAATCTAACGTAGAAGTTAATTTCTGCAACACATATTTCTGGTTATATGGTCAACAAAGTTTAAAAATAGTTGGGGAGCGAGTGACCGACTCTGGGTAGAACATTTTAATAGAGGAACTTGTTCTCACCTTGCTCAGTCTCTCGTTATTTAACTGAAAACGATATGAATGGAATTAATGTGAGTATTCTACGTGCTATCACAACTCGACAAAAACGCTTGGCAATAAGAAATAAACAACTTCGTCATCTGACAAACAGTGTAGGATTTCTCGACTGGTTGGTTGTTTTAGACCTGCGGTCGAATAATTTATCCACACTTCCAATTCTTCCAAGAAATGTGAGTCTTCAATGCGTTTATTATGTTTTTTTTTTGTTTGTTAAACTCTGCGTCATTTCAGCTGGAAGTAATTAATCTCGGCAATAACGTATTTACAGACATACCTGAGGCTGTATATGAATTAACTCAACTAAAATCAATCAGTATTTACAATAATCGCCTCCAAAGCATTCCAAGCTTACTTTTTGGTAAAGTTACTTAGCATTAAAAATAAATTATAACATGCTTCAGAGAAATTGGTGCATCTTGAATACATGAATTTCAATCACAATTCTATAGAAACGCTGTGCGATTCAATATCCAAGTATGGCGAAATACAACTTAACTGCATTTCATCTTTACAGTCTTGTGAGCTTAAAATATTTATCAATGTCTCATAATGCGCTGAAAGCACTACCGGATTCTATGTGTCCAATGCTGATTCACTTAGAATACTTAAATTTAGGCTATAATCAAATTTTAACACTGCCGTTCAATTTTTATCTACTACAAAGAATGAAGACGCTTATTCTGCACAAAAATTTCTTGTCACGTCTACCCGAGGTAGATGATATTGTAGCTGTTTACTGGATTTTAGACATTCGGTTTACTTGGGTCACTGGAAATTCTGGATTTAGCAGGCAACAACTTACAACTTTTACCATCCAGTGTAAGTTTGAAATCCTATTGGTTTGAAGTATGCAAATCTACAAGGGCTCTTCTTAACTTTTGTATTTCATTTCTTCTCCGTTTGATTTAGTTTGTACAACTGAAATTGAAGGAGTGCTACATAGAAGCTAATCCATTCACAAGAAACGATCTATTCCCTTCAACATATCGAGAGAACACACTGACTTTAAAAGTAAAACATCAGAAATATATTTATATATATAAACTCATTTATTATAGGAAATAGCGCTTCGAAAGCTTTCATCTCTCGGAATAATCAGGTGGTGATCATTTTTATCCTAAAAAATATTTATTTTTGTTGTCGACTGAAACATTTTATTTATTTATTTTTTTGTAGAATCGGCGAAAACAATCCTTGGCTAGAAAGTATAATAGGAGTGAAAACATGGCAGTCAGCTGGTTTCTGTGCTCTTTGTAAAAAGCCTTTTATAACCTTTTGGCTAGAAGGTGTTCGCTTTGTCAATCTCACGGAGTTGGTACGTTTCAGTTCTATGGCTGTTATAAGTATTATTATTACTATTGTTTGAATGGCTATCAAGTAAAAATGAATGCCACGGCTAGTGAAACTTCAAACGTAAGAGAATAAAAAATATTTCTAAAATGCTACTGTTGGTCAACAAGGTGAACAACTGAGAAACTGACTGTATTAAAACATTTTACTGTCTAAGAAGCCTGGTTTTTGTCCAGTTTCCACCCCCCTTGATGTGCTTAAACAAAGCAACAAAAACAATAAAGTGAGCAGTTGTCATTGTTCTGGCTTTGTTCGAATTTCGCTTTTATCAAACTTCAGTGGTCAGCTGCTCATTGACTATTTTGACTGCTTTAAATTGTGAAATGTCTCCTGTGTGTGTGTGAGTTGACTTACTCTATTTCCGCACTGAATGCCTTCATAATCAGTCTCTTGCTCTTCACTAGCTCATTTTGCGTACATTTCAAATAAATGAAAACAAAACACGTAGATCAGCGAAGAGTCTTTTCAGCAAATTCATTTTCTTAGCTGTACAATCGCAAATATATATGTGGGTTATTTTGTATGTATGTGTACATTAAGTTTGTCAAACAAAAATACAATTGGTTATAGTTATTTTAACTAAACAAGTGAAGATTGGTAATTGGAGTTGCGTAATACAAAATCAGTCAAGAAAATTAGGTGTTATTGAAACTAGGGTAGTAAAAAAAGTGATGAGTTGTCACAAACAGTTGTTAAAAGAAGTTATGTAGTAATATGAATAGTTTAATGAGTGAGTTTATCTCAGGATTCACATAGGAACAAAGTAGATAATACGAAATTACGTAAGAGTTCCAAGAGGATTCAAGAACACTATCCAGCATGGTTGCGAAAAGGCTATACTGGTGCTATAAGGAGTGCGGTAACTTAACACCCGGTTAACACTGATCATTCCAATTCAACAAACGCCTCCTGCTTCAAAGTAATCTACAGAGTCAAGAATAACCTATCAAAGGTAATACGGTTTCGTCTTCTTTGTATCGTTGAAGCTCTGGCCATTCACATAGAAAATCCGGAGCTGTGCATACAAAAGAGGATTACTCAATCACTTCTACTGTCTTGGTAACAACTTTTTTATTTATTTGATCTTTATTTGGATGACTTAATTTTGTTTCTTTGCTTGTTCTTTAACTGTTTATAATTCTTGTATTCATTTAGAACTCTTACGTGATTTCGTATTATCTACTTTTTTCCTATGTGAATCCTGAGATAAACTCACTCATCAAACTATTCATATTACTACATAACTTCTTTTAACAACTGTTTGTGACAACTCACCCTAATTTCAATAACATCTAATTTTCTTGACTGATCTTATATTACACAACTCCAATTACCAATCTTCACTTGTTTAGTTAAAATAACTATAACCAATTGTAATTTTGTTTGACAAACTTAATGTACACATACATGCAAAATAACCCACATATATATTTGCGATTGTACAGCTAAGAAAATGAATTCGCCGAAAAGAGACTCTTCGCTGATCTACGTGTTTTGTTTTCAATAATGCCTGGATGGGGATTATACATGAATTTCAAATAAATCTCACACTGAGCTGTGTTAAAGTATCGAATTAATTGTTAAATAAAGATCAGAGCGTTTTGTGATGTTCAGTTCCCTTTTGATTGCACACTTAGACAGAGACTGTCAATAGAGCCGTGAAAATATATTAAGTTTTGATCGAACTATCCTTCACGATTATTTTGCGACGTCATTTCAATGCTTATTGTACTCGATAAGTGGCCAGTAGAAAACATTTTCAATTCATTTAGAATTAAAAAGACAATTGCAGCGAAGAAAATTTTCTTTTCGACGAAGTCATCATCTAGGCTGTACAAGAAACGCCAAAAGCCTACATGGAATGGACAATTCATCAACTTTCAAAGCTTCGTACCCCTAAGCAGAAAGAGGAACCTGATATACACTCTTTCCTCGAGGATTCGGAAGATATGCAGCGAGGAAATGATTGGGGAAGAACTGCGTAATCTCCGAAAAACCCTGATGAAAAAAGGTTTACCGCCCAGGTTCATAGACAAGAATATCAAACCTAAGAAGACTTCTGAACAAGTCCAATCCGTTCTAAAGAAAATACTTCTGCTTAATCTAGAATTCAAAGGTGATATTGAAGCAGAAATCCTTCGTAAACGCTTCTCCAAATCGCTGAGGAAAACATACTTCACCACGAGCCTACGACTTACGTTTTCCTGCAAGAAACTGTTCAGCCAGAACGCGAAAGATAAGCTGTCGCATTGGGCCACCTCAACGTACATATATCAGTTTACTTGCTCTTGTGGAGCTGAGTACATTGGCCGTACCATGCGCCGACTTGAAAAACGCGCTCGCGAACACTACCCAGCCTGGCTAGTAAAAGGAGACCAAAAATGTGTATACAGTTCAGTGACAGAACATCTGGTCAACTCAGGACATTCAGCGACTTTCGAAAAATCCTTCAAAGTAATATACAAGATTCAGTCAAACCTACCAAAGGGAGTGGAATCAAGGCATCTGGGCATAGCTGAGGCGCTGGCTATTCAAAAGCTCAAACCCACCCTTTGTATCCAAAAGAAATACGTCCAACCCCTGTCCCTGCCATGGCCATCATAAACAGGTTAATTTTTTTAATGACCATCCCATCGCCTTTCTTATCTAAACTTCCTGTTTATTCATGTTATTTTAAGTTTTCTTAAACCCTGTTTACACTACCATATTTTCATATCCACACTTCCTGTTTATTTTGTCATTTTACTATTTCTACATATTTAATCCCTGATTGCATAAACAATTAATCATCACATTAGTTTTATTTATCCAAACATCCTGTCTATTTAATTGAATTTTGGATTTTCCCGTCGATTGATTGGACCGAAGTGCTCGGTCTCAGGTTGACATGTCGGCTTCTTGAGCAGATGCTTCGACGAAGTCTGGGCATTTAATTAGTATTTAATTGGTCACTGGGTTCGAGCCTCGGTGAGAACATCATCACTCACTGAGAAATGCAGGTACATCCAGCTGACGAGTCCCAAGTAGGACGAGATGCGCATCCTGGATTCCACTACTAGTCACCATCCACCAATTAAATCCTGTCTATTTTGTTATTTCTACATTTCTAACCCCCGATTGCACAATGTCAATCTTCTTATTTATTATAATGCTACTTTGTTTGAGTTTTATCCTTCCCCCTTGTTTATTATGGCATTCTAATTTCTAATTGTAATTTTTATTAATTTTGACCCTTAACCGGAAATTATTCTGGAACTTTCCCATCCATGTTATATAAACACACGAATGTATAGCCTAGAAAATTTTCTTCGCCGCAACTGTCATTTAGAGTCATTATACCCAAACTTCTTGTAAATGATAAACACAATTCTTCACATCGTTGAAATTGTTGTATTCTTATAGCGGATGCTTCGAACTTTTGAACTGTTACTAAATCCTAAATCATTTTTGATTATTCTTTCTCTTTTCATTAGATGAAATGTAAGAACCTACCAGTGGGTAAGAAAAGTTCAGAAATATTGTATCCTCTGAGAAATGTATTCTGCAGCTATCAATGTTTGAAAGCAACTGATAATTGTTATGGACTGGCTATCGCCTAACTGACGATAAAATAAATACTGTTAGCAACAGCATCGACGTACTTTCTTTCATATGGTTATCGAATGTTTCATGGAATCTAAATACACTCAAAGACTCTTACATAACTTCCTCTTGTTTATTCAAACACTACGTAATGATGTGCTTACTTATCTCACGATATTATTCAGTTATCTGAACTGTGTTAGCACTCTACAGTATTGACTTGAATCATCCTCCAGTTTACTCAGTACATATTGTAACTATTCAACTTACTCTTTATTAGTTCTCTTCTTTCAATCATTATGACAATTCTAGAGTATTACGCTATTCATTTTTGTACTTTAATGAAATTAGTTTGTTGACGAATACGAGATTTGAATATTTCCGTTAGCAAAATGTGTGTTACTACAGCAACTTACTGAGACATACGATACTCAGACACCTGATTTTTTAAATTTCTACATGCAGTAAAAATGCGAATCACCTCGAAGATGTTTATTCTATTCGCAATTCTATAACTGTGCTAATTGGCGAAACTTTTAATATTTTCGTTTGTATTGCTGTGTATATTATTTTATCAGAGCCAAACTGAATTTGTCTGAAATAGTTATCTCAACTCTTGGAACCATTGAACAGTTGCTTCATTCTTGTATATTATTTGATAAGTAATGATGACTTTCTGCAGGAAAGCATAACGCGCGCTTCATCGGATTCGGGACTTGTCAGTTGGTTGGTGACTTGATCTCAATTAGTTTTGGTGTATCTCACTGCAACTCATTCTTAGCACTTGACTTTGGCACGTTGACAGAAAAACTAAACACTCTGCATTGTAAACTTGGGTAGTAATATTTTCAGGAAAACTGATCACTGAGTGAAATAAAAGACATCTAACAGTAAGTTATATTTGTAGAAATCTCAGAGGCACGGAAACAAATTTAATTGGAACAAATTCTACGTTTGGCTTGATAAAATGATCCTTAGTTTTTCTGGGTAGTGATCAAAATAATCGAGGGAAATCTACATAACACTACATATTTCTCTCAAATCCATTTCGACACCGTAAATTTTTTATTCTCTAAGAGTTAGTCGCCCAGATCTAGGGAAGAATACACTTAGAACTAACTGATCAAATACATTCATTACTACAATGACACAACGACTGGAAACTTTTACAAATTGAGGTATAAATTTTTAACACAGATGCAACCAACTTTTTAAAGGTCTTCATGCAAATAGTTCTACTTGGTCACGTGATTTGTAAAACACTCGCACCTGTTGTTTTGGATGGTTGGCTCATTGTGGTTTGCTTAATTTGCAGTGGGATATATAACATTATTTTTTTGTTATTTTTGATTGAACACTAGTCAGTAACTAGTTTAATGTGTCTAGTCCTATCTTTGGTGCAGAGTGAAGTTTTCAGTGTGGCCAGCATGCCGGTAAGTGTCTCGCCATCATGGTGCAGTGTGAATTGTGGTAACGTCTCTGACTGCAGCACTGGGTGACGCGGGTTCGAATCTCAGAAGGGACATGAGCTCCTTCAAGATGGCAGATACGCCTTGCTGACTAGTGAGTGCCAACTAACACGAAACCTAGGTCCGAGGCTTTCTGTGGCCGATTACCTCCAACCATCCATTTTTCTGTTAGTAAATATATGTTACTGTATATGGAGTATGCAGTTGAGACATTCTAATGAATTTGTTAAATCTCGCTTTACAAACATTTGTTGCTTGTTTCAAATTCATATCGGGAAATAGATATTTCCAAATTACTATTTGACTGCTGTGTAACATACTCTTTAGTGCGTCGGTTGCACAGCGGTAGAATGCTAGCCGACCACGCACGTGGTTCGGGGTTCGATTCCCTCCACACGCACTCCTTTACCTCGCTAAGCCAATAATAAGACTGATAAATAGGGAAGGTTGGGCTAGCAACCGAATCCCGTAAAAATAAACACCACTGCTAGTAAAACTTGAAAGCCCTATCTTGAAGCCCTATGATGTCCCACTGATAACGTAAAGGAATAAAACAAAATCATAACATAACCCTTAATGACGTAGGGGAAATTTTCACACCATTAAATGTATCACTTTTCTTTGATAAATAATTTGATGATCATAATGAAAATACAGCAGTAAAATTTTCTATGGAGGAAAAGAATAAACAACAACTAACATTTTATGGCTGTATGAAGGCGATTTCTATAGTGCATAAAGATTTATATGAGGTTAACTGTCTTCATTATTACCCATCAACTCAATGTTGAACTTATTTCATTCGATTAGGGAAGAATGTTGGCCATCTGAGATCTGTAAATTGCCATGTTTTTTTACTGTAACATATCATTTCCTTCAGTGGGGAATTTAAAATAACGGGTTATGCAGAAATACGTGTTTGGACAATTCAACAGTTGAAGTGAACAACGAATCCTAAAGGTGCAGCAATTATTTAAGAGGAATTTCACTAATGCTCTATCTACTGCATTATTCTAGTTCCATCAACAGTCCTCATCCAAGCATCAATGAAAAACAAAACAAGAGGCTCTTTTCGGCAAATTCATTTTCTTTAGCTGTACAATTTGTATGCAGTTTTTCATGAAAGAGGAAATTAACAAAAGTGATAAGTTGTCATAACCATAGTTACCAAAATTAATTAATACATAGAAAGAGTTGAATAAAAGCATTAGAGTTCCATAGTAAGACAAACAATTTAATAGATGAGTTGTAATCACGATGCATATAGAAACGAGGGAAAATGTCACACTACATAAGAATTCTAGAGAAATACAAGAGCTATAAGGTGTTAGAAGAAGGGAAAGCAAAATTAGATTGGTAGAAAACAACACGGTTGTTTGCATGATAGTAGGACTGGTTGTATAATTTTCTTTCGTTCACAGACTCCAATTTCTTCATCTGAATGGCCAGAGTTTCAGCAATGGAGAGGAGACGAAGACGGTATTGATTTTACCAAGTCGTTCTTCACTGTGTTATATATATATTCTAACAATCTATCTCCTTTCACAAATGAATAAATACACAGATAAAATAGTAAAAATTAAAAAGCCCGCATAAATTGAAGCTAATAGAAAAATAATATATGTAATTATAAAGCCGTTTATAATATGCCGTTTAATTACAAATTATAAGTCAGGTTTATAAGCTCTTTCCTGACATTTCTCTTTTCATAAAACACCCGTTCTAAATATTATAAATATAAGTATAAAACTTGGGCACTGTGGTAGAGTATAACTCCATTATAGATAAGATTTCATTTTGATAAATCACACAGTGTTATACAGTAATATTAACTGATGACCACGTTTCAAGCACAAATTATTACTGCTCATAATCATATCAAGGTACTCACTTACACAACTTGCTTGCTTCATTTATATACATGATTAAGAATTGATGATTAGACATTTTAATCAAATCAATATAAGTTAAAGTACATTCGCAAATAATATTAGTGGTATCAATCAAATACAATTAGATGGGAAATAAGATGTTTTTATAGTAAAATAAGTAAATAAATAAATAACTCGTTAGATTGTTATGACTTATGTGAATTGAATTGAAATAGAATTTTAAGATTATTTATTATCCTCCTGTGATTTGACTGGTGGTGACAATATCTTGCATATCTTCGGTATGAGTGATGAGTCATTATTATTATTGCACATGTTTGGTGTAGACTCGATGAACCAGGCAGGATTCAGTCAGGAATCAATCTCTCTCTTTGTCTCTCCACCTCCCTATATTACTCTTTAGAATTAGAATTTTGACTCAGTCCCACCCACACCACTGTGTGGTTGTGTGTTAGTGCATGCAGTGAACTGCAGTGCTGAGTTTGTTTCTCAATGGCTTATCTTCGCGGGTGGGATCAACCATTCTAACCTTAGCTGAATTCTTATGTTCTGACAGCCAGTCTCACTACTCCTGCTTCATCTACTAGTTTGACTTACCTGTGTAGTTGACTCAACTCACAGTCATTGCAAGGTATTTTGTAAATTATATTATTTTGTTTAATTGGGTCAACCCACAGTGTCCTTTAGCCTACCTACATAGCTTGTCCTACAAGAATGAGTTTGTAGGTTTGAATGACACCTTAATTCCTGCTTTGTTGACAATCCTATGTAGGGTCTCAGATGTCCCTCTCTCCCTATATGGTATAACAATTGTAGATGCCTTATATTTTTGCTTATTTATGTTATCATTATTATCTTCACCATTATTTTTATTTTGCTTTCGACCTTTTTCGATGTTCCTAATGAATTTTATGGGATAGTTAGTTATTTAACAGTAAAGCTTCTTCTATCTGTTTTATTTCATCATTTAGGTCTTTTCTTGTACTTCTTAGTGCTATTACTTGCTTTGTTAGACATTTAACTAAGCCAGCCTTTACAGACAAAGGATGAGATGAATTCAAGTCTAAATATCTATTAGAATGCGTTGGTTTTTTATAAACGCTAGTGTGCAGTCTACCCTCTTCTGTTCGTTTTATTTTGCCATCTAACATCACAGCTAATCCTCCTTGTTTATTTTCCTATTCAACTGTGCATTTTATTCCCTCTACTAGTAAGCCTATATGTGTCAAGAAGCTGGTAGGCTGAGAGAGAGATTGATTACTGAACCCTGGTTCATGGAGTCTACACCCAACACGTGCAATAGGAATGACTCATCACTCATACCGGAGTTATGTAAAAATACTACAACCAATCAAATTAGGCGAGGAAAAATAATGGAATTATATAAACGAAGTTAGAAAGTTGGGTGAGTACTGCCTTGATATGATTATGAGCAATAAATTGTGCTCGAAACGTCATCAGTTTATATTATTGTGTAACACTGTGTGATTTATCAAAATAGAATCTTATCTAAAATGACGTTCTAAATATAGTATGACTGAATTCATACATTTTACTGTACGAACATAAATTCCTTTGAAGTGTCTGCTGATTTTACGCCAAAAGATACAAGGAGAAAGTTGCTAATAAAGAGGATGTTCACTATCAGAGAAAACGACTTTAGCCAATTTCTTGCAACAGTTAAAATGCTTTTCAAGAACAGTGTCAGTTGGTCAAAGGCATACCTTTTTGCCCTGCTTGCAACCTCCAAACTCTTACGCAATAATAATAATAATTATTGTTTCCTTTAATTCCTAGAGGAACATAGGGCTTCAGCCGTGCGTCTCCATTGCGTTCTGTTCTCTGCTAGAGTCTTCACCTGGCTCCAAGTCTGCCCACACGCTTTCATCTCCTCTTCACATGACCTCCTCCAAGTCACTCACCCTCGCACTGACGACCAACTCGCCGCTTCCCTTTCGGGT